CAGATTGTAAGCCGCCCGCCGTGTACTTAGCAGATAAGATAACTTGCATCGGAGGGCTCGCCGGCGTACTGCGGTGGGCACTGTCCCACCGCGTCACTCGCACTGCGGATCCTTTCTGCAAGGCTCTGCTAGGATTTAGAGGCGGCTCCTTGGCCGCCTGCTCGGAGTCATCTCTCTGGACGAACTTCTGCGAGATCGATATACACACAGCCGTGTTCAAACTTCGGGATTCGAAAGTACTGGAGGAGCCCCGTGTTCAGCTCCCCGAGGAATTGCTGCTTCTCGAAGCCCATCTGCGACAGCCCGTAAAGACTCACAACATCCGTCGAAGACAACAGCAAGTGCTCAAGGATGCACGCAGGGCGGCTTTGTCACCGGACTCCAACAAGTGTCCAAACCCGAAGACTCTTCCGGAATTGGAACATCGATACGTCGAGGGATTTGACCGCACGCTGGCAGACGTGATCCTGTTTCCCTGCGTTCACATTTGCCTGACGGAACTCCGATCCAGAGTTAGCCACGACGAACTCGTCTCCGCACTTCCGCTTACGGTGAAATGGTACGATCGCGTCGCGGCGGACGAGCGCTCTAAGCGAGCTTTGGACGCTTTGGGCCTGGCGCCGCTAAGCTCGGTTCAGCAGAAGCAGCGGATGGCAATCGAAGAGGCAGAACTGCCTCGCGACAGTCTCTACTCGACGCACCCGGACCGCACCAGACCGCGGATTCGTCACAAGGATCCGGCTCACATCGTGCAGCGTCTTGAAAAGGCCGGGGTCGTTCCGAACCTGCAGCCCAACCCTGGGTCGGGCTCTTTGCCGCTGCCCTGGCACACCTACCCGAGCCTGGTACATCCGTCGGGTGGTGGGCTTCCCAGCGACAGGGCGAGCCGCAAGTGTCAGCAGATCGAAAACCTAGTGGTGCTCGCGTTGCGGCGGACTTTCGACGGCTGCACAGTCGTAGACTTCTGCTCGGGTGGCGGGCACGTAGGAATCGTGATCGCCTACCTGCGACCCGACTGCAGGGTGGTGATGATCGAAAACAAGGAAGAATCCATGCGACGCGCTCGGGACAGGATCTTGGCGTTGGGTTTGTGCAACGTCACCTTGTACCAGTGTAACATGGACTACTACGTCGGGGACTTCGACGTTGGAGTCTCGCTCCACGCCTGTGGTGTGGCGACTGACCTGGTTTTGCGCAAGTGTATCCAGAGGAGAGCAGCATTCGTTTCCTGTCCTTGTTGCTACGGGGCTATGAAAGGAATGGCCGAGGTCAGCTATCCCCTGAGTAGGGTCTTCAGGGAGGCTGGAATGAGCGAGGAGGACTACGTTTTGCTGTGTCACTATGCGGACAGGACGGAGCGGGACACTCCGACCTGTCAGCAGGGTCACCATTGCATGGGACTTGTGGACAGGGACAGAGCTTCAAGTGCGGAGGAGTTTGGGTACAGTGTCGTTTTGACTCGAATGTGCCCCGCAGACTGCTCACCCAAGGGCCTAGTGCTTTTGGGAACGTGGGATAAGGCAAAATAAATTTTTATGCACATTAACTTTTAAAATAAAACCCCCAAACAAGAAAGAAAAAAAAATATATATAAAGGCTGAGGTTTATATAAGGTTCAATGCAGGCACGTAGCCAGGGGGGAGGCCCATGGGGCCCGGGCCCCCCCCCCCCCCCCGAAATCTTCCGTTTTATTGGGACCTCCTCTCCCTCCTCCCCCTCATACAGCATTTTGTCATGGGCGCCCCCCCCCCCCCCCCCCCCCCCCGAAACAAAATTCTGGCTACCGTGCCTGGTTCAACGCTTCCCCCCTAAACCAAAATAAAAAAAGGAACAACAGAGATCTCTCCACAAATGCATAACAAACAAAATATGAGGGTGCAAGTGAGCTGGTGTAAGTTCACCTTTGTAGGATTTTCTGAGACTGCAGTAACGACAGAAAAAATGACAGGAAGAAGGAAAGAGGCCTGAAACAGCCGAATTTAACTACCGCAGAATCCACTCATATTGAGTGTGAACTAAAAATAATTCAAACCAACTAAAAAAAAAAAGGTGTGGGGTTAATTTTAATTACGGATATGAAAGGAAAGATTGTATCTGTTTTTCCTTCTCCTTTCTTTTGGATTGTTGGGTGCAGGGATGGGCAGTATTTCAAATACTTCGCGTATTTCATTACAAATTGGGTAATGTATTTGATATGTGTATTTAAATGCTAAAACGTGGGTATTTCAAATACAATTGTAATAAATACAATTTTGTGGGCGAAAATACATCCCTCAAATTTAGTGTCACTGTCCAGAGCAGGAAGAAAGCTATGTTCTGCACCGAATACAGTGTCTCTCAATCAAGTACAAGCGTTTAGTGCCTTTGTGATTACGGTGCTAGTCCAGAGCAAGAATAGTGATAAAATTGACGTTCACAGGCAGACTGGCTAAATAACTGCCTGTGACAACTTGTGATGCTTTGCAGCCTGATTTCCATCCATATTTTTGCCTGGAACATTCTAAATGCGCGGTCATCCAGATTTTCGTAACTGGTGCGTGTTGCAACAATAAAAAAATTCTCTAGTTAGTGCTGCACGTCTTGGTCGTCTCGGTACTTTGTTGGTCTATACCAAAATGTAATCGACAAAAAAAGCTTCTTGGAGCTCTGTACTTTTTTCACCTATTACGTCCAAGCTGATTACATTTTTTTGTGATTATATTTCTATTATGTTACTAGAGCCTCGCACACTGACTCCCAAGTGTGCGATGCAAAATTAAAATGAAATACCCAGAAACCTGTTGCAGGTACCCTGAAGTCGCTGACGCAAATTTCGAGGAATGTATTTGGAAAAGTATTTGGAGGAGACCAAATACATTTGGTTGTATTTGTATCTTGTACCTAAATGCTTTTTTTGGAAATGTAATTAGATTTGTAATTAAATACATTTTTGGCAAAGTATTTTGTATTTGTATTTCGATACATATTTGCATGTATATTTTGGCCATCCCTGATTAGGTGGTACTTAAAACCTATTAAACCTCAGCCTTCTGTCGAATAAATTCAGCAGTGGTTGAGACCTTGTGTGTTGTGCCGTCCTTCGAGACCGGCAGGTTTGCACCCAACCTTTTTGTTTGTTACTTTTTTGCTTCGTAACAACATCCAGCCCAACATGACCACATCACGTGACCGTATCTAGCCTTCGGTCTGATAAAAACCTACCGACGGAGCGCAGGCAAGCCTGCAAGGAATCCTACAATAAACCATCCATCTCGCTTGTGACATGTCACGCGCACCAATCGCCAGAAAGATCTGCGGTCACGTTGGGCACAATATCGTTTAAATTTTTGATGACTAGGCTTCACCAATATTGCAACGTGTCCCCTCCTTCTAACCTCCTTGCGACACCCCCACCCCCATCCCTATCCCCCTGCACCAACCCTTTTTGGGGCTCGCGGCGACTGGCCGCGACACCCCGACACCCCCCTGAGCGTTGCGCTTGTAATAAATTGTGAAACGGTTTGTGGGTCAGCAATCGAAATTCCGTACAACCCGTGGTTTGAAGGACCTGCACAGAACAACACAATGAAAATGTGTGTGTGTGTAGGCGTTGTATGACATGAAAATGCAAATGAAGCAGTGGTCATGTCCATAGTCAAGCGGTTATTCGATTAATCGTTACGTAACCCAGACCAGAGTAGGTCGTGGTGCAGACGACGCTTGTCGGCTGCTACAAGAACCATAATGGCTGTGTTCCAAAATTTACTCGATCCGACTCCGGAGTAAAAGTTTCATACCGTGGCGTTCCAAAACTTACTCGAGCTTACTCGATGACGTCAGAACTCGCGTTCCAGAAGCGGGTTGTTTACTCCGGAGTAATTACTCGCGCTACCCTCCTCGATCGGGGGGTAAAGTCGGATCAAATCGAGTAAATACGTCACGTGATCTGTTCGTCGTCTGCTTTCTGCGCCGATAGCCGTCAAGGCTCGCTTGCTCCGCTGGTTTTGGTGGCGGACGTTCGAAATGACAAAGAATTAGCTGCAGCATGTGTGGTTATTGCGATTTGCTGTTGTCAACGCAGGAATTGACTGCATTACATCCAGACCGTCCACCTTCCCCGGGAACGTGTACTTGTTATTATCTGAGTGCGAGCGTAAGCAGGAGCTTCTCCGCAACCTCGTCCTCGGCGTTGGGGGAATGCCGTAATCTCACGTTCAAGGCCGAAAATGTTTGAACTCGGTATATGATAATGTAATATTTTTGTTTCCTCTAGAGTGTGTGTAATGAGAGGATAACGTTTGTAAAGCAGTGAAGGCTTCGAAAATTTCACTGTAATCATATTCGCGCCAAAGCGAACGTGAGTTTCATATCATTCTGGAGAAAGCACCCCCGCGCTGTACCGCTACACCTTGTGGAATATATTTCTGCAAAACATAATCGGTGCAAATTACAATGCGTGGAATATATGCGTTTAGGGCACCGTGACTAGAATTGCAGCGATCGCGCTGATTAATAAAAACACATTTTTTAATGTCTAGCTGTAAGGAGTAAGTAATTTTGATCTGAATATACAGCTCAAAACGAAGGTGAGTAAAAGGAGCTGGTGGATCCACCTCAAAATACACCGCGTCGTCATTAACATTACCGTTCTTCGGGTGCTTTCTCCATGATCAAAAGGATCGTCTGCTATTTTCTGCCATCGCTGCTGTGTTTTCTTTTTGCCGTCGCCCAAGACGAAGCCAATCCGCGTAGTATCCAGGTGATTATCCTGGCCGTTCCAAAATCGAGTCGCGGATCGTTTACTCGCGATGTCACGTGGTATTACCCGCTGACGTAGGAGGCAGGTTACTCGGGTAAGATTTGGAACATAGCCAATAAGTACACGTCGTGTTGCGTCGTATAATTCCTGAAATATAACTTAATTTATCTTACGTTTTTATAATGATAATTCAAACCATACGGCCAATGCATGCGGCTTACGTCTCAATATTATAATCTATTAATATATGCTATTAATCGAGGACGTTTCCCTGGTTTCCCTGGGTTTGCTCACGTTTCGGGTTTTCCCGGAAGTTACGATAGTGAGAGCGACGTTGGCGACGTCACTTGCCTCTCCGATGGTTTGTTGACGAAGATCGCGAAGCAAATCTCTCCAATTTTAATTTTGTCCCCAAACGGTTGCCGAAGTGACACGTAGTCCGACGCCAGGCAACATGACGACATCTCGGCGTTGCCCCCCTTCACCCCAAGTCAAGTGAAGCGCAAGCCCTGTGTGAAATTCGAACCGCCGGCACCATTGCTACCGAAGTGAAAGCAGTCCAACAAATCAGGTGAGCGAGCCAGCGCTGCTGGTCACACGTAGGCTGCCGTCGATTTCCCAAGCGCGCTAAGCTCTGTGGCGGCGCCGTAGGGTCAAGCACCTCAATAAAAGTTGTCGCTCTGTTAAAGTTCGGACTCTTCGTCCGAAGCACGGTTCAGCGGTGCCAGCCTCCCCGCCGTGCTGCGATCGGCAGCAAAAAATATGCCGTAGTGAACGACCTTGAACACCGACGGCTAGCGAACGAGTTGAGGAACTTTCGACGCCGCCTACTTTTCACTTTTTTTGGTAGCTTATAAACAGCTTTGATCGTGTGGTCCCTGGGAGCGAGCAAGAAAGCAGAAGGGAACAAATAGCGTCTTCATCGAGCATTGATTAAACGCATCTTGCAGCAATCTCGATTTGACCACTATTCCCTTCAGGTTTCGACTGTTTTACAGCGGAGATTGTCGACTGGCGAAGGTCGCGTTTGTCAGTGTTAGATTTGATTAGCTGATTGTAAGTGCTGGGTTTGTGTCGAGTGACGCATCTGCGAGATGATTATTTTCTTGGTTGCGCTGGAAATGGCTAACGTGTTACAGCTGGAGACGGCGTTAATATTTTCGGGGCGTATTCTCTTAGTTCGTGAACGTATCTCGGCTTTTGAGTTGGCTGGATGCTCTTGCATGGCATTTTTGTATGGTAGGATTTTTTTTATCCTTTTTTTATCTGAAGCAGCACACATGCCACCAAATGTCAAATGTCTTTAAAACAATAACAAAAGGAACAGAAAAAAACAACGAAAGATACCGTTTTGCCAACAGAACGTGCAGTGTGAATTACATTTGCCTCTGGGTATCTAATCTCGCTCACTTACATGGATACTCCACTACACTATCTGTGAGTGTAAGGTCAGCTGAAGATATATCGGCACCTCAGCAAGCCCAGTGGCCACTTGCATTGTGTTGAACAGTGCAGCTATGAAAACTTTCAGGGCGCCGAAAATACACAAGGACAAGATACAAGAAAGGAGACGTGAACAAGGCGCACTCGCAACTAGCGTTTATGAAAAAACCACTCTCTTATATACTCATGGCAAACAACACAGTCATACTACCCAGTCATACTACGTCCGGTAGAGCCCCCTTCGTAGAAAAGTGTGCTCTTTTGCCGATAGTGACACAGACGTGTCACTAATGCAGTCCTTGCCTTTTTCTTTTATTTCGAAGGCCTCGTGCAGCTCCCTCGATATCCGATCGGCGTATCTGGCCAAAAACCTTGTGTCACTAAATGACGGTGTGCAGGAGCAACGGCTGCAGTGCGTGGCGAGGTGTCCCGACGGGGTAGCCCGTGTAGCCGCATCATGTTCGCGGGCGCGATCATTAAAGCATCTGCCCGTTTGGCCAATGTATGATGATCCACATGACATGGGGATTTCGTATATGGCGCCCGTGGCACATTCCGTGTACCTGTTGCGGTGCTTCGTATTGCAAGGATCTGCGGGCTCACGGGGATTGTTGATTCTGCGACACAGTCTCGATAGTTTGTTTGGTGCGGAGAACACAATAGGCATATTGTACCTATCAGCAACCTTTTTAAGATTGTGGGTTAGTGAGTGTACATAGGGGATTACCACCGGCCTCACTGCTGCTCTTTCACGGGGCTGCCTCCGTGTACCTTTAAACTTTTTTATTAGGGTGTCCGCTACGAAACCTTCTATGAAATCTATGAAAGCTATGAAAACCTTCCAAGATCTGTCTGGTGTAGTACTATTGTGTTGGTCTTGCTGCTGAGTTGTGGGTAGCTTCTATGGTCTTGTTGTTGGGTATGTGTATACCTTTCACACCATAAAATTTGTTTTCTTCAGAAAGAAAAAGTAGAAACGGCCTCCAGCATTAGTAGAGTGACATCACATGCGGCCATGAATACCTGCCTATTGGCTATAAGGTTCAATATGTTTTGTTGAAGCAGGCGCTAGGCGTACCTTCACAAAAGCAAGATCCTTTTTTTGTGTGTTTTTTGTTTACTTGAAATTTGCTGTGTACTCGTTTTCACCTCAGGAAAACAAAGTTTTGCTAATTGTTCATATGCCGCGCAAAGTAATTTTTACAAGATTTGGTTATCCAAGAAAGCAATGCTTTTGGCGTTTTGAAATGTGGACGTCTTGATAAGATAACATATATCGACTAATCTAAAAAGCACCTACATATATCTCGTTTTTCTACATAAAGGGTGAAATTAGTAATGCTCCCGACGAGCCGGACCTTTTTAAAGTACAGTTCTTGAGGTAAGGACGAGTATAGAAGTTTCAGCATTGTCGTAGAATCAGGCATTTGCCGCACCTGTAGCCAAGCTATTGTTTTGCCAGGTTGATGCTTGCAGCCTGACACAATTTTATTAGAACAAACATGCTGAGAAAGCTACCATGGAGAGGAATGGCTTAAAACAGATTCTGTTATGCCAATCTTCTGTTCATGCTCCTATAATTCCTTGCTGGGTCAGAGATGTCCATTTTATGTTTTCAAACAAAAATTATTGCTGCATCCGCTTTCACAGTAACGGCCTGTACAACTCCCTTCCTTCACAATGTCACGCTTGCACCTGCCATCTGCGGGTTTTATCACATACGGTGCGGAACAGCATCGTAGCGGTACGGTTGCAAAAGCAGAAAGTGTGGACATACCATTTCCTTCTTGTCTGTGGAATGGTCTGTGCTGTTCTGGTGCTAGCATATCTGTTCCTGTATGTAGAAAACTGGTCGCAAATAAAGACTCGTGCTATTAAAGTAAACCTTTTTTTTTTTTTTTTTGTATACAGTAGTTTAAATGGACCATGAAAAGCAGGCTGGTGGTGGTTAACTGGACAGTCTTTTCCTTCTGCTTACAATTGTCTCATTGGGACATCACCTTGCATTTTCTGTGGCGTGTAAATTTCTAAATTGGTTATAATTAGGGTTTCGCGTTTTCGGTTTCTATTTTTTCAAAATTCGGCGTACTTTTTTCGGTGTTTATTTTAAAATTCAATTTTCGGTTTTTTTCGGCGTATATTTATGCCCACAAAAGTTTATCGACTTTTTTCGGTGAATATAAAATAAACACCAACGGACACCGGATTAGATAATCCTTGTAGCTCTGATATTTGTGATCACTGATAGAATAACGGCACAGATACATTAAAAAAGAAAGGGACACTTTATTTGGAAAATGTCTGCAACTGTAAAAAAAAAAAAAACAAGAAAAAACACAGAAGTACAAACAAGTCAGATATGAAGCTTATGCCCAAAATCGTGGAACTTCACCCTCTGTACATCAGGATTACGTAATCTTATTATAGTACACACACACACTTGTACTTCCCCAGGTTCTCCTAGTTGATGCGCACTCTTTCTTTCCTGCTAATATGACCCCGAGCTTCGAGAATGCCCAACGCTAACACTGAACACTGGCAGGCTGAAGGAGATAAAGCGCTGCCTGAGCCAAAATCAGCCAATCAACCAATTGTGACCACCAAAAGAGACACAGTGCGACGTTTTGAAGTACAACAAAACATGCAGAGCTTGCATCAAGTCAGTCTTCCTTACAACGAGTTTGAAAACACGCTCGTACATAGCGAAGTCATGGGGCATTTCGGACTTCACGTTCCGATCGATGATGGGCACATTAAATCAAAACGTCGTGATGGCACCCTTGTATCCCATACATTCGGAAACGTTTCGATTTTCTCCCCCGCTACGAAATCCCCGAAAAAAAAGCCGCAGCTGCGCATGCGCGTCGCCAGCCTTGTCTGCATAGTTCACGGTCTTGTTGCGGATTACGGAGCGCTATCCGGGTGCTTAGCGGGCTGCGGAAACGGTCTCCTACAATTCCTTACTGTCTCCACTTTTTCGCCACGGCTCTGCGGTACGACCGGAAGGTCAAAGTGACCTTTTCCGGTTAAAACTGAATTTTGTCACATGGATTCGACGGACTTTTATCGGTTTTTATCGGTTTAGATCGAAAATGCCGAACCTAAAAACTGACCTTTTTCGGTTAAAACCGAATTTCCGAAATTGAATTCGGCGTACTTTTTTCGGTTTTTATCGGTTTAAACCGAAAACTCCGAACCCTAGTTATAATCTGCTGTGTTCTTTAAAAATATTTTTAGCATTGCAGCTTTAACATGTTTGTATAGACCCTTGCAAAAAGAACTCTGTGGCCACCGCCATTTTGTGACTTGAGCGACCCCTATTAGCCAGAAATTTCTGTCACCCGCCTGAGCTGTGGAAACCTGGTCAGTGCGGCTCCGCACCTGCGTTTTGCATTCTGAGTTCGCCGTGTTTTCTTGAAAGTTTTTACATTATTTGCCTGTTCAGGATGCTTACCTTTTTTGTGTTACCTTCCACTGTGAGAACCAGGGAATACCTGAGCTTGTAGCCTGCTCGGCCTTCGCAGGAAATGAGCGAAGAGAGCGAATGTTAAGCAGCCTGCGACGCGGGCCGTACAACATTTTTTCTGGGTTATTTCTGTCGAGATAATCTCCGAAAAGCCTTCCCGGCTATGTTCTGGGTCTTTGGAAAAATAGCTGATAGGGCGGGCCCGGGTATGGGGTTGAAAAAGACACGTTCGTTCATTTGCTTTGGTGCTGTGCAAAGAAGGAGGTATCTTCAAAACATGCCTCAAAAGATTCCATATTACGCCCGATCGTCGTGGCGTGACTATCGTCGACACTGAATATTGGATATGCTGTGTTACTTGAGACCTTTCTCAAATCCCGTTCAAATACTGCGGCACCGTGGAGTATGTACACTATATATTGTTTGATTGGTGATACTCGCTGAATTTTATGTTGTGAATAGGGAATACCCATGCAGTTTGGCTATCCTCTGTGATCAAATATTTTTGATAGTTAAGGGGGGGCACTACACAGGAAAGTCAACTTCTGTACCGCTTGCTTGATTTCAATCAAATCTGCATTGGAAGTTTATAGGGGCAAGACTATCCCTGCCAAATTTCATTGTCCTATGTCAATTCTGAAAGTTGTTACAAATGTTACAAT